CTGGTGGGATCAGCAGCTCCTTCTGCACGATCAGTGGATCCTCCGGTGAGATCGGTGGCTCCTGTGGTAAGGTCGGTAGTACCAGGGTTGATAGGTGTTTCAACCATCTTCAAGCTCCGCTTCTTTAAAGATTAATCTATTATTGCCCTCAGATGGCGCCAACTGTTATTACTCAAATCCGATCTAAAGACTGAAAAAGAGTTAATGGGTTTAAAGAGAGATCTTTATTGAAGATAAAGCCGGAGCTTGAGAGATACACGGATGTTAGGTCGTCGGAATAAGAACGCCAACCTAAACTTTTATGGAAATAAGATCGTGAACTAGAACAATGAAGTGTGCTTAGTTTGCCCTAGATCTCGAGAGAGGATTTTTAGATGATCTGAGAAGTCGAGGACTTCCCATAATTATAGCCGATCAGGTCGGTCTTCAATGTATGTTCGGAATGCTACAGTTTTTATTTCCCTTTCTCCAATCGATTATGCTTCATCTAGAAAACGCAAACAAAAATCACTCAAAAAAAATCTTATATAATATAGTAAGATCATGTGTCACTTTTTTTTTCTTTTTCTCTATTTATACTATATTCTCTTTTATCCGACAAACAAAAAACAACGCTTAAGTTTGTTTTTTCTCAACACGACTCTTTTTTATTATGTCTCTTACTTTATATTATTTAAAAAAAATTCTAACTTTTAAGAGCTGGTTGTGATATTGTTTTGCGCTAAAAATAGATTCATTTCTTTAGGTTCTCTTTGTGACCAAACAAACAGAAAATCATGTATTGTTTGTTTTCGTAAAATATTTTTATATTAATTGCCTTCCTACTTCATCGAATATTAAACCTCCCCCACTATCGAAATATCTATCTATGTATCTATTCTAATAAACTAAGAGTTTTTTTTTTCAAAATCTGCTCTGATATGATGCCATATGGCCTCTAAAAACTGACATGTGTCAAACCTAACATTATTATTTCACCAACTTTTTAAGATGAAATTTAAATGTTATTTACAATTTACAAACTAATATTTACCAATAAACTTTTACCAATAAATATAATAAAACAAATTTAAAATTTAAAATTAATTAAACTCTTACCTGAAGCAACATGCCATTACCAAAAAACACGCTACAATCCTTATTTCTCCATGATTTACAAGTTAAGCAACTCTAATACATTATAATCTTTCTGTAAACAACATATACAGTTCATGCAACATGTCATTGATAACATCACATTTTTGTGACACCCTGATTTTGATTGAATCCATTATCACGTTTAAGTCAAACGTGTTATCCTCTTTACAAATCATATAATCCAGATGAGAAAACAAGCAAGTGGATAAAGTTGCAAACTCTGGCATCATGATTTGGGAGGAGTGTAAAACGGTTTTTCTTAACCACTTTTATACTAAGCAAAATTAAGACCCGTGGCCGGTTTGAAAATTATTTTAAAACTTGTAAATAATAAATTGAAAACAAAAATAAATTAGTTTTCATTATATTTATTTTTTATTCATATTTGACTTTTTCAATTAAAAATATTATTACACGTGGTAAAATTTGATTAATAGACGCACATATATTTTAATCATTTTAATTTAGACTGTGATCTCTATATACAATGGTTTACTAGGTAATAACTTGCACCATATGCGGGATAAAATAATAATTATATATTTAATTTAGTATAATTTTAAAATCATATAACAAAATACAATTGATTTTATATGAGTTGTTTATAACATTATGCTGTAGTATTGACAAAATAATTTTTTTTGTTTATTTAACGAAATATAGGATAATTTAATTATAATGTAAATTAGTTTAAAAATTGAATATATATGCGCAATCTGGATAGAAATACGAAGTCTCTCTTTATATTTTCTATAACTTATGATTGATAACATGATCTTAAAATTAAAAAAAAATAGAGGGATTATATTTTAATTAAATGATTAAGTATCTAATGTGTTATGATAATAGTAAAAAAAAAATTTACTACTTTCTCTGTTTCATGTAGATATATATTTTTTAAAGGTTTTGTTTTGTTTTACAATATAGTTGTTTTCATTTTTTTTACTACTTCCTATGAATACTTTGTGACCGATTATATTTTTAGTTTTTCATAATTAGTTGAATTATATTTAACTTATATACTAAATGATAATTTTTTTGAAGAAAAGTTGCTTTTTAATCTTTGTGCTTTGATGCAAAACAACTTATATTTTGAAATAGAGAGTATTAAAATTGTAAAAAAAAAATTTGATTATAAGATATAATCGATTTTAATATTTCTTATATGAATGTAAATACATATTTAGATTAATACGTAAAAAGCTATAGGCATAAGAATATTAACCTTTAAGAAAAAAATACTATGAAATTTATTTTAAAAACTAAATATACATAAGGATTATATAAAAATAGATTTTTTTATTTTATTTTTAATAAATTATCTAAAATTGTATATAACTGAGTCAATACTTATATATTTTTAATTTTTTGATTCAATAAAATTATTTTTAATATCAAAAAGTTCAATAAAGTTATTATATAATATCCTTACAAAAATATTTTATTTTTTTTACCAATTTATTTTGTTGTATAAATTAAAAATTTATGATATAACTTTTTAATCAAATAAAATATTAATAATATTATATTCTATTAATATATTCAACTATTTTTTATTGCTCAACTTTTTATTAATATTCTGTACTTATTATAAAGTTTAAATATTTATATTATTTGGTTAATTTATATGGTTCTAAAACCATATGAAACCAAAAATAATTATAATAATAATATCTATTAAATTAAGCTTCCTCTTTTTATCATATTTATATACTACACATCCTTATTTTCAATTTTTGTATTTCAAAAATATTTTTATTTATTAATAATTTGAGTAATTTATATTTTTTTTATGAAATTCGAATTTAACACAGAAAATATAATATGAATGATGTGATGAATTATTTTTCTACAAAAATAAAAGATAAAATATAGTATTTAAAGAAATAATTAATATGATATATTTTTGGTAAGAAATAGAAAAAAAGAATATCTTGATGAATCATCATCAATATAATTGATATAAAAGAAAATATTTTGATGAATCTTCATCAATATAATTGATATAAACTAATGTATAACCAAATTAATGTGAGTGGCATAACATGTAATTAATCTAGTAACTTAAGTCTATTTTTATAATTTTGCTGAAAATAATTCTGGTGATGACACATCAGCAAAATGGCACCACTGTAATATTTTACAAAATTAAGGTTATTCTTTAAAAATGCTTCTCTTTTAATATATAGGGGATAATTACCTATTACATAACTCGTTAAAAAAAATCTGAACATGAAAAAGTATAAAACAAAATTAGATCATTGCGAACATAAAAATATAAGACGAAGAACTGAATAAAAAAACTGGTTTTCTCCTTCATTCTGTGTTTAATTTTATATTTTTTACAAATATGACTGAATATGAAAAAGTAAAAAAAAATATAATTAGATCACTTTGAACATAAAAAATTAAGATTGAGAATATTTTCGCAAAACCACTTATAATAGAACTGATTAAAAAACAGAATTTTTCTTTCATTACACATTTACTTTTCTATTTTTCACAAATATGACTGAGCTTTAAAAATTATAAAATAAAATTAGATCACCGTGAACATAACAAATTAGGATATAGAACTTTTTTGTAAAACACTTATAATAGAACTAATTAAAGAAATTGGATTTCTCCTTCATTCCGTGTTTACTTTTATATTTCTCACAAATATGACTTCTCTCTAACAAGCTATCACCGAGAATTTCATTTGGTAAAATGATATCTGAGTAAAATTGGCTTTCTTCTTCAATCAACTTCCGCAATTCTGTTTGTTTTTCGTTACTTCATCAGTTTTTCATCTTATCTGATTAATTATCAGTGTAGTAAAATTATAAGAGACTTTCTATGTTTATAGAGACGTGAATAATATTTTTCTTTTTATTTTACTATTAGTATTTACTTTTCTTTAAAAATTTTCTTTTAAATTTTTCTTTTCTTAGTTGATTTATATATTTTTTTTTCTTTTTAATCTATTTTTTCTTCTTGATATTGTATTAGTTATATATATATTTTAAAATAACAGTTTATTTCATAAAATTAAACTTTAATTTAATCACGATACAACACATATCAAAATCTTATCAATTTTTTCGCCACTTGTCACAATCATGTGAATTACTAACTTTGATGCATCTAACTTTACATAATAAGATTTTATTTCAATTTCTTACCGAACCTAACTACAAGATTTTTAATAAGGAGAATCTCTCTACGACGCATGGGAGCAATTTAAAAATCAATGACAAGTAAAGCCACCAAGAAATACCATACCACCAAATTCAAATAAGCTTTAATGTTTTTTCACGACTAATGCTATTTGCTTTCTATAATATTCGTTGATTTTGTTTTCTCAGGAACGAATATCTTATTTATCAATTTTGACTAATTAGATGCTTTTCAACGCAGGAAAACGATGATCTAAACAAACTTAAGTTGGTTAGGGAAACGTTTATTTATTTTCATAGTTATATATTTTAATTGTTTTAAAAATCTAAAATATATATAGATGAACATATAATTTTGTTCGATAAACATATCAACTGTCTAATCAAAGCAAAGCAAAAGCTTTTGTTTGATTAGAGGTATTTTTAGCCATGGGTATTCAAAGCTTCCCAGACCAAGTTCTTATTAACCACTGGAATAGCAGCGTCTCTAGCCTGATAAGCCGCTTTCTTCAGTCCTAAGAGTCAACACATTTGCCTCCCACCACGAGAGACTCCTATACGGAAGATTATGCTTCGTGCAAAGCTCTTTAACCACCGGAGCCACTTTCCGGAGATGGCAACGTGGCAGGCGAGGGAACAAATGGTGTTCGAGCTGAAACTGTAACCCACCGAAGAACCAATCCATGTACGATGCACACGAGATGTTTATCGTTCCTCCTGCTTGCTTCTCGCACCAGTTGTTGCCCTTGGGTGGACCACGTAGACATCGGCAGCGAAATGGTTAAGTGTGAACTGGATGTGTTGAAGCGCCGTGACGGTGAAGCTTGTGAAGACGAAGAAGAATCTTTCTGGCCAGCTTGGTAGACAAGAGACCAAGAGTGGGAACCATGTCCAGAAGACTAAGATTCCGACAAGGTTTAGGGCACGATCAGTGACTTGGTGCTTGGAGAAGAGCAAAAGGAATGTATGGATGAAGAGATTGATTCTGCCTAAGCACATGACTGGGTAGTAAGTAAAGTGTTGGTAGCTGATCAAGAATCGAGTGACTGGATCGGACGTGAGTTTGCGGTGGTGGAGTTTGGTGGAGACGGCGAAAACAGGGAGGTGTTGCAGATCTGGATCGTGATCGAGGCTGCCACAGGCGGTGTGATGAGACCTGTGAGTCCATTTCAACCACGCGATGGAGAATCCGGTGAGGCAGTTTTCGACGAGTAGCTGAACGAATCTGTTGCACGATTTGTTCGTCATGATGACGTAATGGATTGAATCGTGGCCTATGTAAGCGCCCAGGATCCAGAGGAGACCGAGGAGAACGGCGGCGGTTTGGTGGGCGAAAACGGAGGTACAGGCCAAAACACCGTAGAGGACGCCGGCGAACATGGCGGCGATGAAGGATAGGGCGTAGAGGGTGACGTGGCCTTTGGTTTCGAAGAGTCCGAGTTTTCGAAACTCGGCGGCCATGCAGCGGTAATCGCGGGAGAGCTCGGATACTTCGGAGTCTCTGATGTGGTAGCCGGTGAAGAGATTATCCAGGTGGTGCCAGGCGGTTTCGGGATGGGATGCGATGAACGCATCAGTGAGATCTTGACCAACGAGTTTCAGAATCACCGTGTCGCCTCCGGGATGAGACTTTATCCAATCGGAAACGTCGTAGACCTTGCCTTGAATCGCGATCCATAGATCTCCAGGTTTGTTGTGTTTTCTCAGATCGTCGTTCCCAATGTACCTCTTGGCCATTGATGATGAAGAACCAAAAACACAGACAGAGTCTCGAATCCTTCTCTCTCCCGCTCCTTATACAAAGGTTAATTTTATTTAATGGTTTTCAAATTAATATCTCGGGACCGTAATTACAATAAATCTTTTTTTATACAATGCAGTATTACTCTGCATGTATGTAATCATCCTCCTACGTATTTGGTTAACTTTTGCTTTACATAAGGATTATGTACATACATATATTGGCACGTTCTGATAAAGTATAATATAAATTTGTGAAAAAGACAAAAATATTGTTTGTTTGTATTATATGTGCTGTCAGCTGACATGCAAACGTAAATCAACTTTCAATTTATGGATGCAATCTAAGTATCATAGACAACCAAATGTTCTATCTATCCTTCAGGGGTATCCTATTTAAAAATCAGTCAGACAGCCAAATAAAAGGAAAACAAAAGCTTAATATGAAGCAAAGATATTCATATACATTAAAACGTATTATGCGAAAATATAAAAGTAAGTAGAGAGCACATAATACGTCTGATACAAAACAAAATACATGAAGACAATGACGATCCTAAAAAAGCTTAATATGAAGCAAAGATATTCATATACATTAAAACGTATTATGCGAAAATATATAAATATAAAGGTAAGTAGAGAGCACATAATACGTCTGATACAAAACAAAATACTTGAAGACAATGACGATCCTCAGAGAAATCAAGAAGTATACAATAACCTTGTAAAAGCTCTGTTTCGACTTCATAGAAGGAAGAGATAGAGGAAAGCAGTTTCATCATCATGATCAATATTATTTCCAACATAATAAATTTGGGGCTTATAGTTAAATAAAGTGTATTCTGTTTTGTTTTTTTTTAAATCTTCACGAATCTTGTTTTTATTACATAATCAAATTAATAATAAACAAGAAGTGCAATTGAAAGACATAGGTATGGTTTAAGAATTGAGACTAATGATCTCGTTTTCTCCTTTTGCCTCCTCATGCATATTATAACTTGTCAGGATCATATCAATGCTTTTCTAAATTGCTTTGTTTGCCTCTTGTTGGTGCTTTATTTTCACTAAACTTGGAATATAAAAGCATACATGTGGCTGACATCTTTCGTTTCCTGGTACTCCGAGATCGACTTCCCTAAAGTAGTCAAAAACCATGGCTAGCTACTTCGGAATGTCAGTGACTTTCAAGATCAAGAACCTGTTTTTATCATATTAAAATAATAAGTATATTTTAACTAAATAATATAAAAGAACAGATATTTGTATTTTTTCATAAATTTAAAATTTGAGAAAAAACAATTTTGTAATTTTAAATAAAAACATCATAAGTTGACAGTTTTAATAGGAAGACAAAACAAATTTTAAATTTATAAGGTCTGGTATGTCAGATTAATAGCAAAATAACTGAATAATTGAAAAACTGTTAGCAGGATAAACTGAACAAAATATTATTTTTGCTGAACAAATATAAAAACGCTGAAAATTTTACTTTTAGTAGATTAATTATGTTTTATTTTTTAGTTATATTTTTAATACTTTAGCAAAATCATATTTTAAAAACATAAAAAAATGTGAAAGCATGAAAACATAATGCATCATATGAATGATAAAAGTTAGTGTAATCATGTTTTTAAAACGTGAAAATATAAAAAAACTTTATAGAATTCAAATTCTATTTTTATGAAAAAATACAATTTTACAGTTTTGGTTAGAATTATGTTTAGAATTGGGTGAGATAATGCAATTTGCGTTTTTGATAAAAAAAAAAATTTACGGTTTTGGAGGAAGATAAAATTTTATGCTTTTAGCAGAAAATACAATTTTTGTAATTTTGCAGAAAAAAACATATTTTTGCGATTTTGGTAGAAATGCAATTTTTGGAGTTTGGTGAGAAAACACAATGTCTACCCGTTTATACTGAAAATGTATTTTTGTGGTTTTAAAAAGAAAATACAATTTTATGGTTTTGAAAAAAAAACATTTAATTTTAAACGAAAATATATGATTTTGAAATATTGAAAAAAAAGAGAGTAAATATACTGTTTTAGGTGAGTTCAATTCACCTTATTTGCTTAGAATATAGATTTAAATCTAAACCACAGACCTGAGAATGTCCTCTTTCAAGATGCATAATCTAAACCTTCACAATGAAAGACTTGAGATATCATAAAACAAGATTACACTTACGGCTGCAATTTCGACATGAACATATAAATCATGAAACAATAAAACAAACTTAATGAAGATATTAGATAAGTTATAGTTTTATACTGTGTTTATGGGTTATAAACCTTACAAGCGATAAACCGTCTTTCAAAGATAAACCAAATTGCTATTTGCTAGAAACGTCATGGGAACGTTTCCGAGACGTCTCCGTCCTTCAAGAAAAAAATTCTTTACTCCAATATTCAATTCTAACTCAATGATTTAAGGAATTGGAAGTAGCTGTAGGAAAATTACTAATAAACATTACATGCCTTGATGATTTATTGTGTGGAATCGATTTGCCCATCAGGAGGTATATTGTAACACCCGTGATCTTCGGATCAAACTGAATGAATCGGATTAAGATTATGAATAGGAAAAATCAGGGGGTTGTCTGAGTAAAGATTGAGCTATCGGTGAAAAAGAGGAATAGCCGAGCTAAAACGAGCTGAATCGGGTCTGTTCAGCTGATTCGAGTGTTTAGCCAAAAAGAAATGGTTCGGACAAGTGAAAATTCGACAGTCCGCGAAATTTGGATAGTCTGTCGGATTTCCGACAGGTCAGTTTACTGAAGTCCGAGCTGGAATGGAGCTGAGCTAATTATGTCCGAGTGAAAATAGGATTCAGACAAGGCAATATCGGACAAACCGTGTTTCTCGGACATTTGGTCGGGATTCAGACAGGACGGTTATTTTTGTCGTAGCCGAGCTGGAATGATCGAAGGACTTAGTGAATCATCGGATGAATTATTCAAACATTCGCTAAGTAATGAAAATAGTCGAGCGGGAATGGTTATATCCGAGGGAATTCGTGAAAGACTCAGATAAGTATTGGCGGGAACAGTTATCAGCGATATCCGAGAGAACTGCTATTTCAGTAAACCAAGCCAAATTCGCCGGTTAAAAGATAGGAACATTAATCTGACCGGCTAAGTCTAATTGATCGAGCGAAAGTGCGGGAACGGTTACTGGCATTCAGTTACTCAAAAGAAACGCAGCGGATTGAGTTATTGATCAGTTATATCCGAGAACCGTCATTTAACTCGGGAAACCAGAGAAACTTCATCATTCTGCCTAAGTATCCGAAAGAAAAACAGAGAGAAAGTTCAGAGCGATTTCATCAGAGAGACTGAGAATTATCCGAGAGATATCCGAGAGTTCCCAGAATCCGATTGTGAGATAGCCGGGTGATTCCGACTGTCGCCGAGAGACTTCGAATGCGTCCGAGAGAAACATTCTGAATCGGGGAGTTCTTCTGAAACCGTTGGCTATCTTCTTGAATCTGCAACAGCCGAGAAACTAAGGTGAGTGCGCGACTGTGGGCTATAGTTTGGGATCATTATCTTTCATAGTTTCGATTATTTACTGATTGCTTGAACTGTTCTATGGTACTTTACTGTTATATTCTGATTTTCTGCATAATAGTGAAGGCCCGATGCCAAGTTAGGCTTATAGCCGAATGAGGTCCGATGACCATAGAAGGCTCGAGGCCAATATTGAGGCCCGAGGCCATATGAGGGCTGTTTAGCCGATCATTGATTGTTTAAGTGATTATTGGATGATTGAATGGACTGTTTGATTGCGATTTTCTTTACTGTGGCTAAGTGGGACGGGATGACCGCTCTCACTAAGCAATTCTGTTGCTTATGCCTCCTTTTTATGGACGCAGGTGATTTAGCCCGTGATGGGAACTGATCTGGACCGCGGGACTAAGGCAGGAAGGGAAGGATGTTAGGCTTGGGTAGACTATGGTCAAGTAGAACTATGTAATAGCTTATAGCAGACTGTATTAGCTTATAGCAACCTTCATTGTATGCTTGAACCTCGTTTTATCTAAGTTATGCATTTATGTTTAAAACGGCTTAGACTGAATCAAACAAAATGCTGAAAATGACTAAGTATGGAAAAAGTTAAAACTTACCCGAGAATGGCCAGGAAGTGGCCGAGTCAAATCCTTACTGCCTAAGTGAACCCATTGCCGGCGGTGGATGAAGAACTGGCTGTGGAAGAAGTAGAAGCCGTTGCTGCGCCGAGGGTTCCATCTTATCTGAAGGTGATGGAACATATGCAGAAACTGGGGACTAGGTTCTTCACGGGTGGTGCTAAGCCTATGGAGGCGGATGATTGGATCAATCGGCTGGAAAGGAACTTTGATTCCATCCGTTGTCCTGATGGCTATAAGACGGATATTGCGGTCCACTACTTGGAAGGGGATGCGCATGTTTGGTGGAAAGGTGTAGTGACTCGCCGTGATGGCCGGGTTACTAGTTGGGGAAGCTTTCAGGAAGAAGTACTTCCCACGTGAAGCTTTCATCCGACTGGAAGGTGCTTTCATAGACCTTCGGCAAGGATCTATGACCGTGAGGGAATACGAGGCTGAGTTTAACCGACTCAAGAGGTATGGTGGTCGTGACTTGGAAAATGATGAGAACCAGGTCCGCAGGTTTATGCGCGGTTTGCGAGTTGAGCTAAGCAACCGTTGTAAGATCCGAGACTATGCTACTGTGGCCGAGCTAGTTGAGAAAGCAGCCGAGCAAGAGGTGGGATTGGCTGAGGAAGCAAGATTGCTGGGTCATGCATCGTCGGCTAAAACTGTGAGTGTTGCTGGGAAGAATCCAAAGTTTGGAAAGAATGCACCTTCGGGCAAGCCTTCGGCTGGACGGAAAGCGTGTTTGACTTGCGGGAAACTGCAGAGGGTCAGTGTAGGAAAGCTTCGGGAGCGTGTCACCATTGCGGTAATCAGAGTCACATGATCCGCGATTGCCCGGAACCGGATCAGAGGGTTTGTTTCAA